CGCCTGTTAGTCTTGGCAACATGCTGGGCTCTCCTTGCATAACCAGGCTCTGTTTCTGTCTATCTATGGGAAAATACCACCAAACAACACATAATCCGTCACAATCAGACTGAGTCTATTCCACTGTGTGCTGCTGAGTCTATGTTGGTTTGTACTGCTGTGTGTGAGCGTTCAGCCCATCATGCACTGCTGCAGATAATAAAGGATGTCTTGTTGTTTTCAAATGGAGCAGGTCAGGACTTCAGGTCTGTTGTAAGATACTTCATTAAACCTCTAAGGCAGAATATCTGCACCATTGTCAATATTTAGAAATCTAAAACAAATCTGGTTTAAGTTAGTTATTTGTATTGTGCTACTGTTCTTACAGTATATCTGAATGTTACTTATAAAGGGTTAGTTCAACCGTCCTAATGGCATCTATACGTGCAGATACAGTAGTTTTAGTTTTATTTGTATTTGGTTTGGATCAGCCCAATACAGTGAAGCTTAACAGAATTCAGCCCGAGCTGCTCACACCATTGAAAATTCTATTCAACTCGAAAGCAAAAAAATAAAAGATAAATTAAACTTTGCTCAAAAAACAAAAAAATGTACACAGTTCAAATAACTTACGGAGATATATTTTTTTCATGTTTCTACATATAGAAATCTTTTGAATCACGACGTTGTTTTTATGTTTAGTCAAATTTGCTGAAAAAATTGATTGTATTTTTTTATATATATATGACTCAATTTCAATACTTTCTCAAACCTTTAATTATGGACTTGTATAACCTTTTAGCTTAGGTTGTACATATTTTAGAGATATGAATCATCAAACGACATCACAATAAGAAAAAATACCAATGTAGGCACTGGCGGAGCATTTCTGTTGCACAGTTCAAAGGGTTAAGATGCCTCTTCTACTACTTCAATTTTAGTTTACTTACAAACATTATTTTTTAAACTCTTTTTTACTTGGGTGTTTCCCACTCCACAGGATGGAAGGTCAAAGTTCAAGGGCTTGTGTTAAAGGAAAACCCATGTGACCCACCCTGCTGCTCTGGACGCTTCCAGTAATAAAACCACAATGTGTATTCATAAAATAGTTTCTGAGAAAGCAGTTAAACAAACATGAAAGGAATGTCAGCCATAATGAAAGAGGAGTTTAAGTTTTTACTGTTTCATTTCTATATATCGACTGTTTGTATTGAGTTCATGTTGCAAATGAAACAGAGCTTAAAGCTCCCCTCCACTCATTATTCAGTGTTTCTTCTTGTCCCTATAGTGTGCTGTTTGAATGCTGTCTGTGACACTAGAAGGATGTTTTCACATTCATCTGCTGAAAGTGGAAAGTTTCTCTGTGCTCACTGAAAATCTGATTTTAATCATGCAGGCCTTCACATGGTCAGCTAACATTTTTAAAACTTTTAATAAAATACATACTTTTGGACCAAACATGCATCACTGCAAATATGGTGGATTTTACTACGTATAAATGCTGCAAAAAGGGCCTTAATGCACATATTAATATAAATCTCTCAAAAACACACATTATAGAAAAATGTAAACAAGCTAATACAAAGCATATACTTGAAAATAGTAATGCAAATGTGCAGGATAGTGTTCCATATTTGAGATAATTAATAGAGAAGAAAGTTTTTTGTGAATGCACACAATGGGTGAAGCTATAGGTATGATGACCTATGAGATAGTAAACCCCACAGGTAAGATGTCAATGTCCCTTCTTTCTAACTTCTTTCTAACTTTCCACTTTTTTATTTTATATAAATATTTTATAAATATTTTTATTTTCTTCCTTTCGACATACCGCAATCTTCATACCCCAGTGGGAGTGTTTCATAAGCAGAGCATTTTGCCTGCTTGATTTTGTTTATTTGCTTATATTATGTTGATTTTGTAATTTTTCCTTTAAATTTTCATTTTTAAGTCTGCACAGGGTATTTTGTTTTGAAAATTGACCAGATTCTTTATGTCGTTCTGATCTGTCAATGAAGGCAAACCCACCCCCAAACATTCCTGTCTGTAAGCCTCAATAACAATTTAATGGAGGGATGATTTTCAAAATGATCATTTTATTTGATTTTTTGGGAAGTAATTATTGTAAACTATCAAAGAAAGAGTATAAAAAACCAAAGTAACTATAGTGACTGTAAACCAAGCTCTTCATCCTACACTCTACCTCGCTTGGTGTGAGAAAAGTTTGGTACCAAAGACCACTGAGACTTTACTGCTTGGTTTGGATTAGGTTCTCACTTCCTACTAACAAACAGCAGCATGGCTCTCTTGTCAGAAGACTATTTTGTGTTAGACTAGTTTAAAAGGCGCCATTATCACCTCAACAAAGAAACTGAACTCAAGTAGAGCTTTGTTCCAGAAGTTCTTGGCGTGAAAGCTGCTTGATTCCTGCAGCTTGTTAAGGTCCACTTAGAAAAAAAAAAAGATTCTCCTTATCTGCGTTCCTAAACGTTGCAGGGGAGTAGCTCTATCCTCTTCTCAG